ATCAAAATAATTCAATAAAAACTAAATAATCAAAATCAAAAAATTCTTACGTTTTTTTCTTTAATTAATTTAAAAAACCATTACAATCAAGATTGGAGAATTAAAAAAAAAAGAATTGAAAAAATAGTGTGTGATTTTTTACTTTTTTTTAAGGGGGTTTAATGGAAAAAAAATTCTGGAAAAAGCACAACTATTTTTCTTGTTATTGTATAAAAACAATTTTATTTTTCACTATAGCGAGGGAAATTGTAAATGATTTTCAGTTTGGAAAACGGTTAATGGTAACGGAATGGAAATAACAGTATTGGAAAACCCCGAGGCAAAACTAATGTAATTACTAGTTGATTAACAATGTATTAATGTTAATTTTAACTTTCTTGTATCTGTATGTGGAGTATAAAATTTAAAAATTCCAGAGAGATTTTTATTAAAACTCCTAGAACTCTGAAATTTTAAAATTTTAATCTGCTTTCTATTATTTCTAAACTTTTTTTTACAAATGTTAAAAAACGTATCAGAATAAAATAAATAATCAATACCACTCAGGGGCGGATCCAGACAAGGTTCTTGGGGGGGGGCATCTGCTAGACGCTAGCTTAATGACCTATTATGAATGAAATTTTTATTTAAAAAATTCCAGGAAGTTTGAATTCTCGGGGGGGCATGCCATTGTCCCCCCCTGGATCCGCGCCTGATACCACTGTAGGAAAATTATTTGTTTGTATTAAATTGTCTGGAAAATGTTATGCGCCTGTAAATTGGCAATTGCATGGCACTCAAGAAATTTCGGAGAGACTGATGCAATTCGGGGAAACGGACCTTTTGGGGTGAACTTTTAGCGCGATAGTAAAACGATCGTCCGCGTGATTTTGGGCCTCATTTGCTTTTTGTTCTCGTAAGGGGATTTTCCGCGCCATACTTTGAAGTCCGATGCTGTAGACCTCAAAGTAAAGAGTGCATTCGTTTTTAATATTAAATTTTCGATTACTAAATTTTCTTTTTGCTAGTGTTCTTTTTTTAAATATTATTTCCAAATGTTATGAAATATTCAAAATTGTGTAGTGTGGCGTTAATCTGTAAATGGGCAGAAAAATTGTTGGAGCGTCGTTTTGAAGCTAAATAGGCGAGAAACTTACACGGGCGATCGTATGGGCAAAATTGAAGCCGAATATAATTGAAATCTCCTCACTAAAAAAAGGATCAATTAGAGAAAAAAAGGAGGAAACTGTGAGACCTCACATCCTCGTCAAAATTAAGGATAACACCGTTTCTCCGCATCCAAACCGCTGCCGATATTTCCCCTGAGATCTAAAAAACATCGATGAGTATCAAAAATTATCGAATTTTAAATTTTATTTACAAACGTAATATTGTTTTTCATTTTATTTATAATTAACTTCATGTCCGAAATTTATGTTTAAATGTGTATGAATGTGTGTGACTGTGACGAGGACTTTTGCTTAATTATAATAATTCTTTTGACTCGAGTCATTGTTTAAATAGATTGTGTAAATATATTATATTCATTGAATAATATTTTGTGTTTGTTTCTTGAGTTTAAATTTAATCTATATCTCCTTGATTTGGTTTTTGATTCTTTTTAATGTTTAAATATTTTTATAATTTCTTGTAAATAATAATTTGTTTCACCACTACTGAGTGGTGGTTCTTATTACTTTTCCGCAGAAATTAAAATTTTCAAAAATTTTAAATTAGAACCTTTTTGAAATTCATTCATAACTATCTTTGATAAACATTATTCTTGAGTTATTATTAGTATCGTTTGATTATTTAAGAAATAAATACAATAGGAAAGGATTTTTATTGAATCAGAGTGAAATCGTGTTTAAGTATATATTTACAATCTTTATCATATATTTTGAAAAAATATTTAACACTTCTATAAGATTATACTTTTAAAAAAGATTGAATTTCACGAATAACCGGCTCCTGAGCAAGTAGATTTAAAAAAAAGACATTTAGCAGAAGTATGAAAAAGAAGATTAATAGTAGAGTGGAGTGAAAAAAACAAATTTTTTTTTCTTTTTGTAAGAGTTTTACGAAATCACTGCAAGTGACTTTTTTTGCACCACCTGGTGGGGGAAAAGCGACCTCGCAATTTTAGCAAAATATGTTATTAATTTTGGTATTTTTATAGTTTTCCTTTATTTATATGACAAAAAATGTTATTTTTTAAATATTTTATTAATAAATTTTTGTTTTCGATTTACAGTACCATGTTTCGTACCTTTTCTAAAAGTCACCTTAAGTTTCACCACAGATACCATATTTTTTGAAAATGTTTATTTGTTGTTTATTTTTGTACTCTCTAAATCTGAATCAGTGAAAATATCACTGATTTTTCCAGTGAAAGAAAGTTTCACTGTTTTACCAGTGATTATCACTGATCTAAAAGTGACAGCGACTGATGTAATCAGTGAATCAAAACAGTGACTGAAATACCAGTAAGATTCACTGTTGAATCAGTGACATTGCTAATCTTCTATTTGTTTAATAACTCAGTTTAATTTAATGATTATAGAGGAAGTATTGTAATACATAATTTTTCGAGTTCGACTTTTTGACATATCTTTATGTTATTTGACCTCAGGAGTTCAAAAATGACATTTTGTTAAAAAATGTCATTCCGCGTGTGTGTGTGTGTGTAAACATCACATTTTCATAAATATCTTGAAATCATGAAGAGCTTTTGTGTTGAATTTTTTTTTAAATTGTAGATCTCACCTGCGGACATAAAGTGAGAGTACTTTCTGATATATTAATAAAGTTTAACTAAATTTTTTTTTTATTTTTAATTTTGCAAAAAAAAGTTTTTTGTCCATAACTTTAAAAAAATGTTAGGACACCTATAAATGTTTTTCCATAATTTTGTAGAGTTTTTTTAGACGCATCTTTTGAGGCCTATAATTGAACATTTTTCGTCCATATTAACCGGAGTTATTAAACTTTTAAAAATAAAAAATTTTGGAGAATAAGACTTTTTTGAAAATTTTGTTGAAAAACGTAGAAGTAACTTTAAAATTATCGTTATCAACTTGTAGAGCATAAAAAAACGCTTCGATTGACCTATTTTTGAACCTAATTCGAGAATAAATTTCGAAATTATTGGTATTTTAAAAACCAAAAATTGTGAAAAATGACATTTTCTCAACTTTTTTGTTTGAAAATTTTTATTTAACTATTAAATTATTGTAACTATCTTGTAGGGTAATTAAAAATACATTGATTGACTCAAAATTTAATCACTTTTACCATATTTATAAAAAGTTATTCATATATTTCTATTATTTTTATCTCCATGAGGAAGTAAAGTGTTCATGAAATGAGCACCAAAATTATAAAAAAATATACAACTTGGCAGCGGTTTTTTTAAATTAATCATCATTTTGAATAATTGCGCGCTTTATCGATAAATCGACTATTCGTTTGTGTTCGATATGTGTATGTCAGGGAGTAAGACTAAGGAGACTGAACTGACTGTGTGAAGTCTCTCAAAAATGAAACCTTTTTCTGTAGGGGAACTATACTCGCAGAATGACAAAACTTATGCTCCGTGCGCATGCGCAGTACATGCGCATATTGCCCTCTCTTTTCAGTTTTTAAGCAATCCAACACTCAGACTAGTATCACCTATATTTAGATTCTTAAAACTTTGTAATATAAAAGTCTAACTTTTATATTCTTCTACCAGGTATCATTCCAATTTTTTTTTTTTTTTTTTGATTAAAATTCTCTCCATGCGTTCACGAGTCCGCTCGATTGGTGCGGTGTCGTTCTCTCTCTCTCTCTCTCTCTCTCTCTCTCTCTCTCTCTCTCTCTCTCTCTCTCTCTCTCTCTCTCTCTCTCTCTTCAACTACGGTTGGAGAGAGAGAGAGATTGTGCGCTGCTTTACCTCCGAGTACGGTGTGGACTCGGTGAAGAGGCGGCTTGTTACTTATGTTTCAGATAGATCATGGCTGTATGTGCAAGGCTTTAGTCCACAGTACATTGCCAATGTGTCGTGAGTTGTATTCAACCCATGACTATAATAAGAAGAAGAGAAGAAGCCCTTTTTTTTATATCGTAAAATATGAGCAGGAGTTCGGTTTTGACCGTTCCCAAGTACAGTTCTCAAGCACTAATTTAAGTGAGGATTCACCTCACAATGTCTATAGTTCTCTAATTTTGACTTATTTGTAATTTTAAAGTGTCTAACTTCAAGTATTCGAAGGAAATGATTCTAAACAGACTTTTTTTTAACTTAAACTCATATTTGCAATAGTATAAACATTTAATTCACATTTTTACCTCCCAACACGTGTTCATCAACCGCCATAGATTTATATAGTTTACCGAATCGCGTTTGACGCCATTTTTTTCACATTAACCAATTTCATGGAAACTTTTAATTCTTAACTCTTATTCTTCTAAGTGTTTGTTCTGACAGTTGGCAAAGCCTAAAGTCATTTAAGAAAAAGAAGAAGAAGAAGAAAATATGAGCAAGTGAGAAAACAAAAACATATCAATAGGTTATGGTTATGTTTTGACATATGATTCTTAAAATAAAATTACAAAATTATGGTTTGTTGCATACCAGGATGCAAAACATCATATTACAATGATCGACAAACGAATAAATTAACTTATTGATAACTTTTATGTGACATTTAAAGCTGTTTATTTATAAAGTATATAATTAAAGTAAATTACAAATTCGTAAATATTATTTATTTAGGAATTGTTCAATTGTTTCCACAAAGAATAAAACACTTTCTAGTTATATACCAAAAAAATTTATTCTGAACATTTATAAATATTTCATTATATTATTAATATATTACTTATCACTGAAAAATATACACTCTTTAGTATATATTTTTGTATGCACATATATATTTATTAAATTAATTTTTTTTTCAATTTATTATAATAATATTTCCTGAAACGCACAACATTCACAAACATTAAACATAACCTTCTTAACTTGTAGCTTATCATGATTTTCTCAGTCGCATCTGAGTTACTGAGAAAGACAGAGACAAATATATTGCATGTGCGCATGCGCGAAAACCATAATTTTCAGTCTTACGTATAGTTTCAATGCGACGAATGGTTTCACTTCCATAGCATTAGTTCAGTCTCCTTAGCCTGGGCTGTTTTCGGCACTCGCCCCGAGTTAACTCCGGGTTAATGGTGATTGGTTAGACCTACAGAATGTTTTTGATGATTGGGTAATATTTAACTCGGGGTTAACCCTGGGTGAGTGCCGAAAACAGCCCTGGTGTATGTTGTTGAGACTCTCGCAGTTACCAAACACCCCAAACACTAGTGTACGTATAGCGTCGTTTAAGAAATCGTGAAAAGGTGGAAAATAAATAACGATCCAGGAAAATATCAATAAAATAAAATATACTAATAGGTGTGTAATTTTCTACTTATACCTAATATAAGGTAAGTAAAGATGGTTCTTATTTTTTTCATTCAATAAAAAGTTCTTTGACAACGTCGAAACTAACATAACCTCAATTTTTAAAGATTCCAATTTCATCTTTTAATTAGTCGTTGCAGCTATTTTGTAATTTAATTTAACAAATGATGTTATTTTTCTTAAATATTATGTTTACATTAAAACTTTTATTACAATGTATTCCTTTATCCCATATTTTTAACATTATACACTTGACAGTGCACATTTCTACAAGTAAACAATTTTTATATTAATTTGAAAATAATTATTACCACTATTCATTTCAAATTTAGTCTTTTAATAAGAAAGTGGTTATTTTTTAAAGTTTGATTTATCTTTATAATTTTATTTGTTGCTTTAATTTTTTGTTTTTCACTGCAAGTAATATAAATTTTCCTAGATTCTTCGTGTTTAATTACAAATTACGTTCACAATAATATTTTGTTTAGATTATGATTTCTTCTGTTTTCTAAATACATAATTTTCTTTATCTTTAAAAGAATAATTCTAATAATTAAAATTTTTAAAATAAAGCAATCGTTTTTACAGATATTTCGTAAATGGATGAGAAAAAGGACTTTCAGTCAATGTCAGTTCAAGAGCTGTCATATTCATTAAGCCAATTTGTGCCTGCAGAAACGGTAAAAATTTTAGAAGGTAAATAATTCAATTTCTAATCAGTTTATTGACATTTTATTTATAATGTTTATAAATAACTAAACGGATTTATTTAATAAATGAGCTGTTAAAGAATATTTTCCCATTTCTTTTAGATAATTCCTAATATCAAAAGGCCGTGTGCTTCTTATACGTATAATTATAAGCATTTAAATTTCTCCACAATTTTATACTTTTTGTAAATTACACACTGAGAAAAAAGAGGGCGCGTTGCAGCACATTTTCGATTCATGTTGCGCGACTCAACCCTGTGTTCTGCTAGACATTTTTCTGGGGCGTGCAGCGGACCCCTGAGTCGAGGCGAGCTGTATTTGAAGCGTATTACACGCTCTTTGGGGCGTGCTGCACGCCCCAGAAAGTGTGTAGAAGAATTCAGGGTTGAGTCGCGCAACATGAATCGAAAATGTGCTGTAACGCGCCCTCTTTTTTCTCAGTGCACGAACGTTAAAAAAGTGCCTTTCCTGGTGTCTAATTTTTTAAATTACGTCCTCAGGTGTGATTAATTTTCTTTTATACCAGCTTAGACTATTAAAAAGAATAGAAAGGTTAAATTGTTTCATGTGTCGAGAATTGATAAATGGCGGATTGTATGAACTGTCTAATCATTTTATTAATGCTCACGGCCTAACATTAAATCGAGGAGTAGGAAATGTCGGATTTGAATGTGGACAAAATGGTTGCCGCCGAAGGTTCAAGTTTTTTTTTTATTAAGGAAACATATAAAAGACAGACATTTAACACCTGATATAAATGAAAGATTTGTACCAGAGCAACCTTTTAATATTATGAATATGGATTTTCTGGACAACGAAGAAATAGATAACGCGGAAATTAATATAAATGCAGATGACGGTGCTGCTGCAGAAAACGTTATTGACGACAATATTGAGTTGGACTTACAAACTTTTATTGTGAGAATGATTTGAAGACTTCAGTCAAATGGGTCCATGACTGGGAATATGATTGCATCGATTTTAGACGAATTTGAAACTTTATTTTTCTTCATGAAAAATAAATTAAAAAAGAAAGTTTCTATTCAGTTAAATAACACTGGGTAACAAAAAAATGACCATGTCGTGTTTATTTCAAAATTTTTGTGTTTATTGAAAGTTTGGGTGTCAGTGAAAATACCAAAAAAAAATTTTTTAATTTATTCAGACCCCTAAAAAGGGGGGTTGAATTATTAAAAAACGGTGTTTTTTGCATTTTTTAAAGACCTGTAAAAAGAAAATGGGGAGACATAAAAAGCTCTAATATGGCTTAAAAGAAAGCTCAAACCTTTATCTTTAAGAAGCAAAACTGAAAAGTAATGTAAAAAATTCAGGGAACCTGTATTTACCGAGTACCCCCCTAATGTATCATACATTCTGGTAAAAATGACTGGGAATCTAAGCATATCAATTTTTCACAATCGGATTGGCTTCAAATTTGTTACTCAGGGGTTTTTGGGATCACTGATTACGAATCCGAAGTCAGATTTCAAAAATTCGAAATGGTGGCTTCAACATAGCGAATAAAATGTTAAAAGTCGTTCGGATTCGCTCGAGACTTGGTTGAATCCGCCATTTTAAAGTCTCCATTTTGGATTTTTGAAGTCTGACTTTGGATTCGTAATCAGTGATCCCAAAAACCCCTGAATAACAAATTTGAAGCCAATCCGATTGTGAAAAATTGATATGCTTAGATTCCCAGTCATTTTTACCAGAATGTATGATACATTAGGGGGGTACTCGGTAAATACAGGTTCCCTGAATTTTTTACATTACTTTTCAGTTTTGCTTCTTAAAGATAAAGGTTTGAGCTTTCTTTTAAGCCATATTAGAGCTTTTTATGTCTCCCCATTTTCTTTTTACAGGTCTTTAAAAAATGCAAAAAACACCGTTTTTTAATAATTCAACCCCCCTTTTTAGGGGTCTGAATAAATTTAAAAAATTTTTTTTGGTATTTTCTTGTTCATTGACACCCAAACTTTCAATAAACACAAAAATTTTAAAATAAACACGACATGGTCATTTTTTTGTTTCCCAGTGTAATTGGGAGTTAATAGACGAAAATAGATCCAAGCAATTGTTAGATGCTTTTAACATTAAAAATCCATTTATAGGAATTCGGACTTTGGATCAGCAAATCGAAGTTCTAAAAAAAAGAGCAGGATATATTTCTCCTACAGAAATTCCTCTTGGATATCGGGTAGATATGGCTCTAAATAAGATAACGTGTTCTTACACACCAAAAATGGTCATGGAAACGTTTCAGTACGTTTCTATTATCGACGTTCTGAAAATGGTTTTATTGAACAGTGATGTAAGAACGGCTATATTAAATGAGCAAGCGGCACACGATGGTACTTTATCATCATTCCGTGACGGCGATTGCTACAAAGTACATCCTTTTTTTCGCGATTCCCAAATGCATTGAGAATAAAATTATATTATGACGAATTCGAAGTAGTAAATCCAATCGGGTCAAAAACGGGAATTCATAAATTAGGAGTTTTTTTATTACAGGATACAAAATTTACCACGACATATGACTTACTGGCGACGGTCTAGCTATATCTGAAGTTTACAACTTGCTTGGTCCATCAGCTTATAAATTCTGTACCATGTGTATGTACAGTAGAGAAAATCTACATGCTGGATCAACGGCCACTGCTGAAGAAAGATCTGAACGTCTGTATAATTTGCATATTGCACAATTGGAAGAAACTAACTTTTCGGCAGCAACAAAGACTGCAACTGGTGTGAATGGTCCTTGTTGTTTAAATCGCTCTAGATTTTTTCACATTTCTCGAAACAAAGTTTATGATATTCTTCACGTGTATTTGCTTGGTCTTGGACCAATGTTTTTGAAGTTAACTCTTCATGAACTAATTTTGATTCAGCAAAAATTCACTACTGTATATTTTAATGGAAGAATATCATCATTTAATTATGGGTACGTTGAAAATACCAATAAACCTTCCGCAAATTTTACCGATTGTATGCTCCGCAATCCTGGATATCACATAAGTCAAAAAAGAATGCAAGTATGGTTATTGCTTCGTTCTTTTCCATTTTTGGTTTCTGAAAAAGTTGCTGAAGGAGATAAACATATGCAACTTATTTTAGATTTGCTTAGGATAATGGAAATAGTTTTTGCCCCAAAAATACTAAGAAGTATGATTCCATACCTTCGAAGTCTCATCAAGGATCTTATGGAGTCATTTAAAACAATATTTCCAAATGTAAATCCCATAAATAAATTGCACGATATGCAACATCATCCGGAATGTATTACGTGGATGGGACCATTGTAGAACTATTGCTGTCTTAGAGAAGAAGCAAAACACAATGAAATGAAATTAAGGGGTAGAAATGTGTACAATTTTAAAAATCCGGCAAAGACTCTTATTCGGATTTCACAAAGTGTTCAAAGCAGTAAATGGGGTCCTGGCGACGTGAAAATACTTAGGGTTCATGCTGTGAGTGGTAAAATTACTGAAGTCGGGGAAACTTGGAGCAAAAATGATTTGAATAATCTAAGATTTGTCGATAATGATGAGATTTTTTGTTGTTCTTCAATTCGCGTCAATGGTACTGACTTTAGAGAAGGATACGTCTGTTTAGAAGTTGCTCATAATCGGGAAGATAATTTGCCCTTATTCGGTAGAATATTAGAAATTGTCGTGATTGAAGAGACAAATATATTTTTACAGATTTCTGTTTGCACAACATCGTCTTTCGATATTTATGTCAATGCATATTGTATTGAGTCTCCTGATGAAGAAAGTCCTTGACAATTTGTAAACGTTTCTAATCTCGCACATTACAAGCCTTTTTGCTGTTGGCAAAAAGCAAATTGCGATTCTTTGTTTATTAGTCTTCGTCATATTCTCATATAAAAGATTAAAAGGGTGATAAAACATAAAATTTTTGGTTAGAAATTTTACATGGTTTAACCGTGTTGATTTTAGTTTTTTTCTTTCTTATTTTTAAATAGTTCAGTTTTATTTTGTAAAAGTATTGGTGCAATTTCTAATTTTATAAATTTTAACTTCCATCAGATGAAGGTATTTTTGGCTCTTTGTTTCTTGAATTGACTAACCAAGACTTTCAAGAATTAAAAGTAAAAATGGCTCCGCGAAAATTTTTGAAAAAATTAAGCAAGGAATGCAAAGTAGAGCAGGTACATTTGAAAATATCCTAATGTGTTTAAAATATTTATTGATAAATTTAGTGAGTTATTTTTTGTTATAGAATTTACTTGTTGAGCTTGTGGTTCAAAATGATGGATCGTTAAGATTGGAAAAGGATAACAACTCCAATATATTTAGCGTTCCACAAACGAAAATTCCAAAAATTACTAACTTCAGTGGCAGTGACAACATCGCGTCAACGAGCGGCACTAATTGCACAGAACCTACAGTCAACAGATTTTCAGTAATGTCTACTTGTTTTTAATAATTATAACTAAAGGAAACGGCTAAATTTTAAATCTGTTATGTGTCATATAGAATTTTGAAACAGTTATGAACACTTTATTAAATCACTGTCAAGGACCGAAATTGATAAAAGCAGCAAATTCTGCTTTCACTGAAGAGGACAGGAGGTCCTTAGTAAGAGTATTGGTGGCAGAACTCATAAAAGTTCATGGACAGTAAGATCACATATTTTACAAATAAGATCTTAACGTATTTAAGGACGTTTATCCTAGAAATGAAAACCTCCAGAAAAAATTTTGAAATGAAATTTAAAAAATAGATATCTTGTTTTTAATAATATTTTCTAAAAGAACGAATATCAATTTACAAGAAAATTTTTTAAACCAGAAAAAATAGCTATTTGTTAAAAAAAAGATAAAACTTTTTTTAAAATGTATAAACAGTAAATTATTTCTGGTTAAAATTTTTTTTTATAATTTGACATTTCTTTGAGAAAATATTATTAAGAATGAGTTATTAAATTTTTAAACCTCAATTAGATATTTTCTTTGGATGGTTTGCATTTCTTGAATAAACGTCTTCTAAATATTTAGAACTCCAAATGTATAAATGCAAGATTTTTAGAAATAGTTAAATTAAAACAAAATTTTCTTTTACATGACGTTTATTGCAAAAGTTAAAATTCTTCGAAATTAATTCTTTTCATCTTTATTCCTTATATCTAGTTATCCTCCAGATATGTGAGTATAATATAACAATTATAATTAAACAAATAGTGTTTCGAGTAGGTAGATATTTATTTATAGCAGTAAATCAAAGTTATAAAATATTTTAGGTGTCACAGATAAATCTTTTTTACTTGTATAATACATTAATACAATTTCTTTAATGAAACTATTTTATGATATTTACAGGAACATTATTATGATGAATCCAGTAAACAAGGCTTCATTCAATATCGGTTATGGACAGTACACAAAAATCTGCCTCCGGACGACAAAAAGTATAAAACAAAAAATTACTTAACATCTTAACACCATCATCTTCCTCGACGATTCCTATCACTCTACTGTCTCAGAAAGATCTTGAATCAAAGGTATGTAAAAACTATTTTGGCGCTTACATACCAATTTATGTCTCTTTTACTCCAATTGTCTATAATATCGAAACGTAGACAGGTGTAAAAGCGCCCTAACTCACCTTTAAATTGACAATATGTGAATAAATACAGTAATATATTTTTTTGTACTAAATTTCCTGGATGCAATTTAAAAATCCGTTAGATAACAATAAACATGAGATTTCTCAAGCTCTAATGGAAACTCTGCCTAATAGAAGAACATGGATAACCAAAGAGAATCTAACTATTTGTCAGATTTTTGCGATGTATCCACGATTAATTGATTATAAAGGAGAAATGGTAATATTATGATCAATTATACTAAATATCATTTTTAAAAATATTTAAATAAAAAGTAACTAAAATTTATTTCTAGATTGAAAACGATTTTAAAATGATTTTTCAAGGAGTGGAAGACAACTTTATTAAAAAATTTCCATCTTACTATTGTCCAAGGATTCTAGCCTACGCCAAGATAAATTCTGTCTCAGTGTACAAGCGTTTCAAGCATATCTCTAACTGTGAGTTATAAAATACTTATTTTAACAATTCATTAAATTTTAATTAATTTCAGGCCTCGAATCGATTTTACGTAAAAAAAAGTTGTTTTATAGTTACCTCAAATTTCGAAAGACAGTTTCTCTATGAAGAATTGTCAAATATTTTTGAAACCACTTTTTTGAAAACTGAAAGTTTTTTTTGGAAATTGTTAATAAGTTAAAAAAATTTTAAGTTTTAAAATCGTAATAATTTTAAAAAGATGTTTAGCATAAATAAATCTCAAAAATTATTCAAAAGTTAATTTTAATTATCAACTGCTTATTCATATGCAGATTCAATAAATTGATTGATTTTATACCATAAAAAATGGTATTTATTCTATAAAGGTCGAAAATGTTGAATTTTATTAAAATAAGTCGAAAGCAGTCGCTACAATCCGAGACAATTACAATATTATTCCGTGGTTTATTTATTCACTCTTTTACTTGACTAACGAAATAAAAAAATATTAACTCATAACTTATAGAAAATCTCCAAGCTTTACTCACGTTGGCATGTTTGCTGCCAGATTCCAATTCGACAAGGATCAAAAAGTCAGTGAAGGATAAATCCAAGAAAATGGTAATAATTTTTATAATATTGATAATAATTTTATTAATTTAATAATATATAAATAATATCATAAATAATGACTTCATTTCGTCTTTACAGCGACTAAATCCGGATGATGATGATGATTTGGTTGAAGAGAATATGGACCAAACTAGTTTTTTACTCCAAGTTGTTTCAGTAAGTATATAACTGTATAATAATTATTATTAAAAATCTGAATTTGAAATACTGTTTCAACCCTACTTAATCTTTATAATTTCTGTTTTCAGGAGGGCACAAGTTTATCTCACTTTATTGCGGAATTCAGAAAAAAATCAAAAGCTAATGTGCAACCTTATATCATTTGTGTAAAGGGTCAAAATCGAGAATCGTATTTTCTACAAGGAGATGGATGGATCATTAAAACCTTCGATGAGACATGTGCAGTATCTGCTTTCGATTTACTTTTTAAATTGTACTTCGTACTGAACGTGTGTTATCCTTCGGGGCTGCTGAATTTTTATAACTTCATGGAACAGTTTATTTACAAAATGCCCGGAACGAAAGTTCGAAATGTGGTACGGTCGTTACATATTTAAACAAATGACATTTCTCATAAAAATAAAATTCTTTGATAATCAATTTTTTTCTTAATTTTAACAGTGCCAAATCGATTCTTAATGTCCTTAATATGTTAAATTTGTGTTTATCTTAATTTTTTTGAAAAGTGGATTTATCTGCTTTTAAAAAATTGCTCCTTATATTAGTAAGAATTCTACTTTAAAGTTTTACTGAATGAATCAGTGAGCTCACTGATTTATTCAGTGAAATTAAATATTCACTGATTTAACCAGTGAGTACTCACTGATTCGTAGTGGTATACTTATAACAATATCATTCAGTGACTATGCACTGCTAATCAGTGAGAAATCACTGATTCAGTTTTAGAGAGTAGTCCACCATTTTTTCGTCGTGTTTAATTAATTAAATTAATATTTCCCGTTCACTTAAACAAGTTGTAAAGAGAAAATAATCTTTGAAAAGTTTATCGAAATGTTTTTTACAGAGCAACTCAAAAATTAAAATTCCAATAAAAACAATATTATTATATTATAGAAACAACATCCAAACTAGAATCAAAAGTTGCTTATTACCGAATAGTATATTTATATTCTAAATGGTTGATAAATTGGTTTAATAGTTTGTGAATAAAACTCAAATGGCTTTTTTTCACTTTGGCTTTTTCTCCCCACTATACCCTACTCGGCTGAATAGATATTAGTGTATTGTTTCTGCTGAAAAACCCATTTGCTTCTAACAAATGTACAAAAATATTGCATATAAGTAGCCAAAATTTTTAAATTTTATTTCTAAAAAAAGTTTTCTTTTAATAATTTTTGAAAGGCAGTTAAACATTGATTTTGACGTCCTAGGCAATCGCCTAGTTCGCCTTAATCGTTGCGCCAGCCCTGGACCGAGTGATAAAATTATTATTTTATATTACTAGCGCCTCCGTCGACCAAACGGTCGACTACGTTGCTTCCGTTCTCCATTCAACACATAATTTTTCTTTAAACATTTTAACATGCAATTTTGCTTCTCTACGATATTCTTTCCTTTAAATTAATTTAATTTCTTTAATTTTTATGCATTAAAAATAAAATTTTCAAGCACATGAATATTTTTCAATTACATTTTACCGAAAAATAGCGACTTTTCTCGACCGCCTACGTTGCTTCGTTATTTCTATTTAACACGTCAATTTTCTATGAAAGTTTTAAATTGTAAATTTACTTTTCCACATTATTTACTCTCTAAAAATAAATTGTTAATAAAGTTTTAAAAAGTCAGATTATTTTTTATAGAAAAATAATCACATGTCGGATTAATTAATTCTTTTTATTTTATTATTTTAAAAATATATATCTAACAGTTAAGGGCATTTGTCCTAAAGCTCCCTGGTAAAAATTTCGGACCAATTCCGGATTAAATACGGACAGATTAGTACGGATTTGTACGAAAATTGTACGAAAAAGAACCGAAAATGATCCGCGCTAGTCTGATATCAATCCGAACGAAAACATGAATCCGAAAACACTCCGGAGTAATCCTGAATGTCTACGAACTCAGTCCGTAATTAGTCCGCAACAATCCAAATTTATAACCGGTGAAGAATTCTTCTAAAATAAGTACAGAATTATCCAATATCAATATGTAAAAAATACGGAATCAGTCCGCAACAATCCGAGTTTAATCTAGTTAAAAAAACTTAATCCGCAAAATTTCCGGCGCAATCCGAACTCTGTAAGCAGGAAATCCGATATTAGTCCGCAACAATTTGAAATTAAGTGTGGCAAAATCCTATTCCGAAAGAAGTACGAAACAATCCGAAATCTGTATGCTAAGAATCCGATAATTGTCTGCCACAATCCGTATTTAATCCAACTAAAAGGTATAATCCGAAACAAATACGAAATAATCCGAAATCTGTGCACAAAGAATCCGACAGTCTGGAGTAACCTCAAATGTCTATGAATTAAGTCCGTAATTATTATGCAACAATCCGAAATTATGTCCGTCAAAAAACTCATCTAAAATAAATACGAAATAATCCGAAATCAATATGTAAAGAATACGAATTCAGTCCGCAATAATCCGAATTTAATCCAGTTAAAAGATTTAATCCGAAACAAGTATGGAACAATCCAAAATCTGTATGCAAAGAATCCGGTAATAGTCAGCGTCAATCCGAATAATATCTGATGAAAACACCACAGTCCGAAAATAACTCTTATTATTATAAGAATTTTCAAATATATACAATCCACAGACAGTTCAAAACAATCCATATTCAATCCGATTCAAAGACTTAATCAGGAATGATTTTGGTATAATATTGAATTTGTATATTAAAAACAATTTGTATTAAATGCTTCGGAGTTCGGACTAGATCAAACTAATTCCGGATTCACTGGTTATACACAAACCGCATTTATCCGGACAAATTCCGAGCGACAAAAACCCGTCCATAAGCAGACTGTTTCAGATTAGCTGCGGATTCACTAGTTAAACCAACCGGATTACTTCTGCATTTACTAGTTGCATATGATCTGACTAACTTCGGACTAAACCGGACTAGTTACATATTCAATAGTTATAAAAAACGGTATTGATTTCAAACTTAATTCATGGTAAAAAAAACCCCACAATAAACCGTACTGTTGTGGACAAATTCCGGATTAGTCCGAAATCGGTCCCACTTTTTATTCAGGGTATTTCCTTATGGTAAATAAAATATTTAATTCTGCAGTCAATTTGTTTTTACAAATTTACTAGTATTATTAGTTATCTTGTTTCAATATTAAAATTAACACTGATGTGTTAGTTTCTTGTCATTTCTTTTCGTGGCACTTCATAAATTCTATTATGAATTTGAACTCTCATGCGAGCGTGGTATAGTGGTTAGTGTATTCGATTTCGGTGCAATATATTGTTAGATAGGTGTAGGTTCGAATCCCCAAGCGTTAGAAATTTTAAGTTAATGTAAATAAAATTGCGATAGGTAAATCGAAAAAATATGTTTAATGTACCATAAAGTAATAATAATTAATATGTGTAACTTGTATAATTATTTTTTTAACATTCACTAAATTGTCTGGACTAATTTTTTACTTCATCGGATCAACTCCGGATTCACTAGTTGTTCACAAACCGTATAGAGTTCGGATTTTTCCGGATTAATTTCGGGTGACAAAAACCTGACCATAAACCGCATTGTTTCGGACAAATTTCGGATTAGTCCGAAATCTGTCCGTTTTTTTAACCAGGGCTGTGACGTCATAATAATTCAAATGCCTTCAAGGTTAAATTAATTTTTTGATTTAATTAAAAAATTCAATTCATAAATAATTCGCATAATATATATATTCAAGGTGGTGTAACCCCTGAAGTATCTAAAATTATTGAGGTTAGAAACATTTGTTTACAAGTTGCATACCTTGTACTGTTGACGTGATTTTTTTATAATTAAAAAAAATAAAATAGGTTTTAAATAAAAATGTTATATACATTACAGGATTATTCAAAACCATTTGATTATTAATTGCAGATAATTAAAGATAGTAACTTATTAATTTAATAAATAATTTAATTTTCTCAATTTTAAGGAGAAACTTATTTCTTTTCATTCTGACATTTTAGC